ACATACATACATACATACATACATACATACATACATACATACATACACCCGCGTGCTGTTGCAGGAAGGTTTTAGAGGCCCTAGACACCCCCTAGAGGCCCCGGTCGGTGTAAACCATCCAAAGCCATGGTTTTCTCGACAAATCCATCGGTGGTGCTCGGGTCCGCGTCGCTGCTGAGGTCACCGTTTGGGTCGGTGGCGGAAGACGTTGCGGAAGGTCCTTTGAGACGATGCCGCCGTTGGGATCTGTCAGGGAAGAAGTCTCTATTGTGGCAAACAACAACTCTTGGCTGCGGCTAATTGAAAGTCACTGCAAGAGATGTGCAGGACATGTGCTTATTATGCTTATCCATTGATACAAAACGTACTTCCAATGAGTGTGTTTGTCATGCGAAGATAGGCGGAGCAAGATAGCACATGGTAAAGGAGCTCATCCAAAGAAGACAACTAGTGGGAGAATTCTTCTTTTTGGCAGATTGGGATGACGACTTGTAGATAGTTACCGTAATTTGTGATTACTTACCGGAAACTGCCAGGGGCTGATGTTCCTCTACTGTGGTGGTTTGAATCCAGATATGTTTTCTTCACTGGGAAGTGAGATAGCCACATGCCGCAGGACGGATAGGGGCGAAGCTTAGCCTTTTTGTGCGATCAGCCAGCTCAGCTTAGGATTGCACGACAGACACGTGGACAAACGTTGGACAAGCAGACTCCCCGGAGAAAGCAGAGGCATCGAAAGCAGACTCCCCCCCCAGACCCGCTTCAAAACTTCAAAAGTAGATCAAGAGCACCAAATGCACTGTGGTGTTTGCTGGACTTCATTATTCATATCTCACACAGAAAACGGTTGTTCAACCGTATGCGCGACGGCCTGCTGGAAATGAACAGAAGGACGTAGAAGAACTGTAAGCGATAGAACTATCCAACAAGTTCCGCCCGGGCATTTTCGCACTCCGCACCATGGACGTTGAGGCGGGAAGGGACGGGGTCAGGTGTTCACCGGTGAAGAGATCCAAACAAATGCTAGACCCCATCCAAACACCTTAAAACTCTGGCTGTCTTCCTTATCTCAGGGTGACAAGAGGATTTGTTTCTTCAACAGTGGTCCACCCGAAATGGTGGAAATTCCAATTAGAGTTGAGTTGAAGCTCATGTCCTGAACTCTTAGGGTACCAACCTCACTCTATTGGTTTGAAACAGCCTCAATCCTATGGGTTGGCTGTTTGAATATAGTTTGGAACCCGCAGATGCTATGATGTTTTCTTCCATACCGATTAGTGCATCCATCACAAAGTGTACAAAAACATCGATGGAACAGTGAATCCGGGTTCGAATATGTGCACTCCCCGACATCACCCTCACTTGAAAGAGGGAACCACTCGTTCCAAACTTTCTGGGAAGGGTTGTACTCTTAGACCATGAAAAAGAAGCAGAGTGTGTCGTGTTGTTGTTTCCAGGAACTCCCTGCTACGACTGTACCCCCTCAACTCCTTGTCTTTGCGTAGACGACATGTTCCCAGCTGTGCGACCCACTGAACTGGCGAAGTCCTGCGCATCCATGCGAAGCAGCATTTTGGAAGCAGTCCTGCTTGCCTACCCTTCTTAAAGCATGTTTCTTGAGCTTCTGGAATGCAAAGTAATCTCTTTAGCTGCTTTGACTTTTGTTTCAACTACCAGCAAATTGCCATGATTGACTCCATTTCAGCCCCGAATCAAGATGTGGAATGGTACGTCGAATCCACCAGTTAAAGACCTCTGACACCAACGCCACCAGGGCCCGGCGGTGGTCACGGTGCAGTTCCGCTGGGCCACCGAGACGTTCCTCCGGACGGAGGACGGCAGCCGAACGTGTCGTTGGGTCCAAACCTGGATCCCACAACACCAGGTAGCTTGACCTTTCAGGTACTGTAGGTCAAAGCCACATTGTTGTTGGTTTGTTTTGTTGGTTTTTTAACATTTGTCCAAGTGCCACCCAACAGCATGGGGCCTTAGTTGGCCAAATGAATACTGTAATGCCAGTCGAAGATAGTGAGGTCCAAGGTAGACTGCCCCTTGAGAGGTAAGGATCGTAAAGGCGGACGAGTGGATAACGAGCTCAGGGTGCAAAAAGGCTTTAGTGGGCATGCTGAGCAGGCTTTGCTAAGCCATCCTATCCAGGTCCCATTTATTGTGCTTTTGAATCCTCCTAGCACTGAGATGGCTAGCATATGCTAGCATCGATGACTCCGATGTCGTGGAATGTGTGCTTAGTCAGCGAATGCAAAACATCTCGATTATATATTGTTTGTTTGTTTTTTTTCAGAAAGTAAGATATGTAAGATCTAGAACCATGTCCACTTCCGTCACAGACAAGTCGCTGTTTGCTCTCAGGACTCCTGCGTTGGACCACTGCTTGAGTCAACAGCAAGTACGTAATGCCTTTCGTCCCTTAACAATGACTGGAATTCTCCTTTCCTTTGAAACTTTGCAGTTTTGATTTTTCATGTGTTGCTGGTGCGACCAGCCCAGGGTTTTTTGCGCTCGCAGCCCTCAGGACCGAGCGCACGGCCGGCATATCTACCGGAGTCGTGGCACGCTGGATGGAAAGGGTGGCTTGAGACTGCAGTACCAGCAGCTTGACGCAACTCCTGTACGTTAAGAGAACCCAGGTTGTTCTGTCAATATAATATCCCTACCCCACTAACGTTGGTTTTGGGGGGGGGAGGTACAAAAATGTAAGTTACAATTTTCGGGACCTCCCTCACCCAAAATATCCCAAAATTATCTGTAAGTTAAGGTCCTCCTAGGTATCTACGGTGAACTGTTTGGGAGGGGGTGGGGGGGGCACAGTAAATGTAATATGTGACCTCCCACGCAGGTAAGTTACATTTATGAGTCACCGGATGCCTACTTAATTATTGCAGGGAGGGGGGGGAATTAAAAATGTAACTAAGGGGGGATTCATTCAATATTAATCAATTATATTTCTATTTTATAAGCGGTCTTTGCAGCTAGTGGTGACCCACCTGGCAAAGCATGCATGAGATACCGCGCCGCGTCGCATCAAATTGAGGATTTTGTCGCAACCAGTGACCACTACGAAGACCCCCTTGCTGTGGTGGTGCGTCTTTTTGCTCTTCTCGATCTCGTCCATGAGTTCAAAGAACAAAGACATTCTTGTCGACAGTGAGAGCCACGTGTGCTTCTCCTGGCAAGGCTACAGAATGTCACAGAGCCCAAAGATCTAGAATGCTGGGAATTACAATGTAAAAGCTGAAACCCAAACAAAAAATGTAAGCTATGAAAGCGGTAGGTGAAACATATGTTGTGAAATACCAGGAAATGGAAGGCAATCTCAGAACGCTGGATACAGCACGGCTGGGTAGTACAACGTAGCCTCATAGCTCAATCGTGAGTGAAAACTAGGACATGCTAGGACTAAGCCATGCAAAAGACCAAGAATGCCTGGAACGTAAAAGTGGAATCCCAAATGAAAAATGTAAGCTATTAAAGGGACAGGTGAAAAGCATGCTGTGAAACACCATGAAATGCAAAGCGATCTCAAAACGCTGGGTAATGCACGGCTAGCTGCGTAGTAGATCATAGCTTGGTAGCGAGTGAAAGCTAGGACCAAGCAACTCAATAGGCCAAGAATGCCAGGAACGTAAAAGCAAAAGCCGAAACCCAAAAGAACAATGCAAGTTATGAAAGGAGAAGTTGAAAAGCATCGCTACGAAATGCCAAGGCAATCGGAACATGTTGGGTAGTAGATCATAGCTTGGTAGTGAGTGAAAGCTAGGGCTAAGCCATCAAAAAGACCAAGACTGCCTGGAACGTAAAAGATGCCGGGAACGCCCGCGCACGCGCGTGCCCCAAACGGGTTTGATACGAGGTCTCGGGGGCCGCGCGTAGTGGATCATAGCTTGGTGGCGAGTGAAGCTAGAACCAAGCAAATCAATAGGCCAAGAATGTCTGGAAGGTAAACGGTGAAACCCAAATGAAACATCATGTAAGCTATGGAAGGGGCAGGTGAAAAGCTTGCTGTAAAATACGGCTAGATGCAATGCACAAAGCAGAAGCAGAGAGGAAAAGAAGCTCTGAGAATGTTTGCATGTCGTTGCATGTCGTTTGCATACTTCGACATACGTCAGCATGGAGATTTTACATTTTTCCTATGACAAAGAAAAAATGTAACCTTACATTTTTGAGGCTCGAAACCATAGGAATATGTAACTTACATTTTTGGACGTCCCCCCCTTAATTTGCGGCGATAATATAATATATTATATTACTATATAGATATATTATATACCTTGACAATCCTTAAGTTTGATTGGGGCACAAGCTTCGAGGTGCAACAACTAGATACAATAAGATAGACATAGTTGTTTATCTAACTGTTGATAGGACTATGGCAACCTTTGTTTTCTCTCCATGGAGCTTTGATGAATTGACAGGGATTGGTTCAAGCGCCGATTCCCTGTAAAGGGCTTCAAAAGGACAGTATTGTTTCCCGATTCCCTCAGGTTCAAGCGA